TGAGCCATCTAGTGTATAACCATAATTTACACCAAGAAGCCGTAGATTCACTTAATGAACACAAATGAGGGGCAACTTAGCAAAACTTTAAATTTTATTAAATGCATTGCATATGTAAATGCTGGATGCAGAAGTAACATTTTGGGGAAAGGAACATCTAAGTAATTAGTTTACAGAAGATGACCCGATATGAACTTATATAGAAACATGGTGGCACGTAGGTCAATATCACTGAGAGTCCAAGAGTTGTGGTTTAAAAATATGATGAAAAATATATTTGAAGAAAAGTCTTGGCAGATCCCAAGATTATTGTCTCCATGCAAGTATGCAACCAAATCAGAAGCATTTGTTTTGAAGATAATGCCCTCTAATACTATACTTATAACAATCAAGGTTTCACTTCTAAAACGAATCATAGTGTCCCTTCATGTTTATGCAAGGGAGCTTAGTGCATATAGAGAACTGAAAAGAGAGTATCCGGCACTCCAAGAATCCAAGGATAGTCAGATGAGAAGGGGAGAGAGAGCAAGGGTAAGCAAAGGAGAAAGGAGACAAACACACATTTGCTCATTTTTCCCGATGCAATAAGCTGCCATTGAAGATATTTCCTTGGCATGGGCCTGCCGATACATTCACATTCTTGTCAAAAAAAAGATGCTACAAGAGAGCTTGATGTACAACAACCTAAGCATCATAGCAATGAGACAAGTTTATTCTGTAAAGTATTTTACTTGGATCCATAGGTGCAAGGAACACATAAATTACTTACCAAGTGCAAAACATCAATGCTGACAAGGCGTGCATCATTTCCCTCAATTGTCACTAATAGTACATTTCCAGCAACATCTGCAGTGGTTTTGCTGTTCACTATCTCTTGCCTGTTGGAGTATTGTAGGTACACGGTTTTCCCCCGCACCTGAGCTGGCTCCGATGATGAAGCATAATATGATATCATTGCAATTGCCTGGTTTTGTTCAGCCTGCAATCGTAAAAAATGAGTAAAAAAGAAAGTTCATAATATATACAAAAAGTGATCCTTCGTAATGGTCACAGAGTAGAAGGGAAAGGAGATGTGTAAGACTTAGCACACTTACAAATTCTATAAAAGCTTGGTTTCTATTTGCTCCAACATTACACTTGGTATTGACAACTTTACCGAATGGCTTTCCCAATTCAATCAGTTCCTCCTCTACGCATTCCCATGGTAAATTTCTTAAGTGGAGAACCTTGGATGGAGGCTGTGTATACCGAAACTGAGGCTGACTAGATACTGATGACATTCCGCGAACGTCCAACCTACATAGATAAATGGCACAGATTGTGGTGTTGCCGATGCATATACTCTTCTTTGTAATTGCAGACCCATAAGACAGTGAAAACAGACAACAGTAACACATTACAGTGTTATCATTATTTGAATATATATCTAAAAATGCTTTATTGGCTCATTTAAACCAAATCAGGTTCATCAGGATTCATTTTAAGAAAACCTTTGTGATCTGATCACGTATATTAAATGCCATAATGGTGCAAAAGATAGAACAGTCAGTTTTCCTTCAGTTTAACTTTAAATAAAAAGAATTAAAACACAGTAAACATAAAGGATAACAAGTCTGTCCTAAATAACCCATTAACCCATACAAGTGGCGATCCTATCCATTTCTTACCCCTCCATTTCCTTCCATTAATATCCTTTTGAGAAAATAACTATGATAATAAGGAAATGTCTCCCCTTTGTTACATTTAGGGTACGTCTGAATATCGTAAAATTCTAGGTAAAGAAGGCTAAGTAAAGTTAATTTCTTATACTCAGTTTTACCATGGAAAATGCAAAATAAAAATATGATTATTCTTTGTAAAATTTTTACAATTCCGAAATAGATCATTTTGATATGTGTATGCTATGTAACTATACGCATACATATATTTGTCTAATATGATTAAAAGTAGTCTGAATAGCTGTTGTCCCACTTCCGCTATAGCCTATATCACTTTCAGGATAGACTAATACCCTAAGCTAGGAAGCACTGAAACACCAAACGTGGGGAAACGGCTGGAAACAAATCCCTTTTTAGACTGCCGCACGTAAGCCTATCATCAAACAAGTGAACCGCGCTGAAACTGAAACAGGATAACTGAATACCTGCGATTCGGCAAACGGCGAGTGGGAGAGAGCTTACCAATTGGACTAATTTCTCCAACTCGGAAACGAAATAAGGGCGATATCACGATTAAAAGGATTGAGCATACAATACAGATAAGGAAGGAATAAATCGAAATAGGGCACGCCAAGATAAGGGAAAACAATTTGTACCAGAGTGAATGTTCGGCTAGGGTTCGGAGAATTGATACCGGAACAGCTCGTCTCTTCCTTCAGCTGCTCAAAATATGAGATGATAGACTCGGGAGAGGTGTACAAGGCGCCCTCCACGAGAGCTCTAAACCAGATTAAGGTTAAATTAGTTTGTTCAGACTTCAGAGTAATTTGATCTCCTTGAACTCTCTGATGTCTTTGAATGTTTTTTTAGCTAAACAACCATAGTTAACATACCTTCTTGGTGAATTAAAATATTATATGGAGTAATTAATTATTTAAACTCAGTTATTCTAAAATTTGGTTGCACACTTGCACCAATTTTCATAGATTTTATGAATTCCTTAAATGGTGGATTTTGAAAAATACATCAGATTGTGTTATAACTAAATAAAACACATAATCTGCTTGAGAAACAATTTAACAATTAAATTTGATTAGAAACATGAAGAATTATTGTATCTATACTGCTTTTAATCATTATATTGTGATTTCCTTTTCACAAATAAATTATACTACGTACTATCGTATGTTGAATAAATTATTGAGTACGATCTCTTTATATTCATACCAAGATAGTAATTAACTAATTACATACAACAATGCTTCGTGTACATAGCATTTTACATGCCGATGAAATTATGAGTGCACAAACTTTTTTTTCATTTTGTGAATAAAACTATTTTTTGCACTGACAAAAAAAATTGTTTGTCACAAACAAAAGAAATTGTTGGTGCGTAAAAAGATTTTCTTCACAAAACAAACAAATTATTTGTATACAGATAATTTGATGGGCGTATAAAATGTTATGTATTATTTGACGCGTACAAACAACATTTCTCCTAGCAATGTGGTCCGGTTAGGAAATTGAGATTTCAAAATGACTCAGTTTGTATCACAAGTCTTTATTGATTCTGTTTTGTCAATTTTCTACTTTCCGAATCAATTTAGATCAATTCCACTTTTAGAAGGGAAATCATAACTAACCGGTAACACTTAACAAGCTTCGATCTATTTCGGTTCGATTACCTTCCAAGATTTAGTTGATTTTCGTTCATTTGGATTTCCTTTGATTCAATTTTAAATTTCGACTCATTTATTAGTCTTGATTCCGGGTTATAGCTCTTTTGTTCAGCCCTAGTTTGAGTAGTACACGGTGTGGAACTTAATTCTATAAAATGGACTGAAAATAAATTATTGAGGACAAGCTCTTCATATTCGGGTCGGGATAGTAATTACATACAATCATGTTTCGTGTACACGCTAGTTGCACACAACATTTTACACGCCAATCAAATTATCCGTGCACAAATAATTTTTTTCGTTATGTGAAGATGACTAATTGTTACACCGGAAAAAGAAATTGTTTGTGTCACAAATAGAAGAAATTATCGGCGCAAAAAACAATTCTCTTCACAAAACACAAAATATTGTTTATGCACATACAATTAGACGAACATATAAAATGCTTTGTATAATTTGATGTGTTGAAACAACATTTCTCAATAACATAAGTCACTATATTTTGTTTATCAGAATGCCTCACTCATAACAATGTAAATACTCCTAACAATGTGGATCAGTCAGGAAATTGACATTTTGTAATAACTCAGTTCGTATTAATATCGATTTAGTTTTTATCAGTTTTCGATTTCCCAATTCAGTATATATCAATTCCATTTTGAAAAGGGAAAATCACAACTAACCGATAACACTACTTAACAAGCTTTGACCCATTTCGGTTCGATTAACTTCCATGATTTAGTTGGTTTTTATTAACTTGGATTTCCTTCGATTCAATTTCGAATTTTTACCCACTTATCAGTCATGATTGGGGGTTATAGCTCTTTTGTTTAACTTCCATGATTTAGTTGGTTTTTATTAACTTGGATTTCCTTCGATTCAATTTCGAATTTTTACCCACTTATCAGTCATGATTGGGGGTTATAGCTCTTTTGTTTAGCCCTAATTTGAGTACACATAGCACGAAACACAAATCTATAAAATTGGGGATGAACCGGAAGAAAATGGTTTTCTAAATAGAGGAATGCTTGTTGTACACATATGTTATACAAATGTGTAATTTATAAAGCAGCTTTTGAACGAATTGCCTATAGAGACAGACAACTACGAGGCAACTATGAAGTGAAAAACACGGAGAAAATAACATCAAGTGATTTAAAAGATTAATGGCTTTTTCCTTGAATATTACTAAATTAAAATTATCAATGTCATATGTCATTATTGTTTTTTTTGTGTCACTGCTGATTTTCATGTCACTTTCGAAATTAATGACGCCGTAAAACATGCACTGTGCCACCAACGTCGCTAGCCACCTTGCTAGCACCGACAACTCACCGCTACAGTTGTCTCCCTCAGAACACTACCTACTGCCCCTCCCCACACCACAGCCCGTGCCCCCGAACCGCCCCCGCCACCCTCCCTAGTTACGGTCCGACCCGCCATTTCCCCCCTCTCCAGCTCAAACTCTAGCCTTCGCCCTTCCATTAACCTAGCCGCTGCCATCACTGAACCCTAGCCGCCATTGTTGATTTTTGTACTGAACCGTTGTGGACATCACTGATGGAGAGGTCGGCGCTGCCATCGATGCCTAGATCGTCCATCAGCAACATCAGCTCCTCCGATCCACGATGGCGGGCTCCATTGAATAAAACGATTATACTTTTGTCCATTCAAAGTCCATAAGTAATATTTTAGTCATTGTACGTGCCCAAATTGTCCATGACACCAACAAAACATAGACAAAATATAAAATGTATGCAAAAGGTATAGAATGGTCGTGTACAAACATAATTTTCCAATGATCAAACATCACTGACAAGAACATCCTTGTACGGAGTGGGAGTGGTGGCTGCCGCCTGTTGACCCTCCTCAACAGGCTGACGATCTCTTCTCCACCTGCAGCCGTCGTCGGCTATAAGAGGCGGAAAATCGCCAGAAATGAGAGGCATTCCACGGCCGTCCCTTTCACGAACCAATCGATCTTGAGCACCTCCCCTGAGCTTTTCCAGCCTCATTTCCCCATCCATCTGCTGCATTTTGAACACTTTGACAACGTTTGCCAATCCCCCGGCAAAAAGTAATAGGCTCCCGCATATACCCAACCACACCCACTTCCCACCCTGCACAAAAGGAGAATTAACATTAAATTTACTCAGTTTTGTTACTACCAATCCCAAGTTAAGTTCGTCTTTGAGCTTGCTAATGCCTAATGTATGGTACAATTGTTCTTGATCTATTGCAACATTTCTAGCACCTCTAAAATGATTTTCACCACATAAATTAAATTCAGGTAAGAGGACCATAGGTGTGGGCAAAAAGTATCAAAAGATTCAAAATCCAAATTTACTGACTAGCTATTGTCACTTTTAGCTTCAACTATTGTTATAGGACACTTCTGATCTTCATAAAATCACTAAAAGTGTGACTTTCAAAATGATCAAAATGGACTAGAAGTGTAAAATGACAAAAAATGATATTTAAAGTGTCTATCTCACAATTTGTGTTTTACTATTAATAATAGCATTTGTTTTCTTTTTAAAAGGTTTATTTTTAAGCAAAAAAGAGTGTAGGACATTGAGAGTGCAACTCTCTTGGACTATCATTTACATCTTTTACTTGTTTTCATCAGTTTGATGATCTTCCTATTTGCCTCCCTCTATCAACTCTCCTGGAGAGGTTTTGATCAGGTTTTGGTTATTTATCCCCTCGCTTTTGTATCTTTTCCATTTTCTTTAATAATACATAGTATTTGGTAAGATAGCTTAGTCTAGGCATTCTTATTTTCTCGACTACAAAACCAAACGAAACTTGAGACATAAAATCAAACTTAAAGATGGGCTTAAAGCATATGCGAGTTGTGTGTTTATATTAGATAGTAAAAAAGTACTTGTTTCTTATTGCAAATGAAGTTATTGTTCAAATGTATATAATGAAGTTAAATATGCGTGCATACCAATAATGATTTGAAGCGGCTGTGGTGTGCAACATGTTGATGATGGTGGTTTTGGGTGTCATTGTAATTGAGAATGGCTCCAACCAGAAGCAGCAAACTCGCCATCAGGAACGGAATGTGGACGCTTTGTTGCAGAATCTGAACGTGCCCGCCCGCTCTCTCGTATATCTGGCATGAGTTGAGGATTGAACCAAGCAGCCATAGTGCAGGCCCTGCTATCAATAGGTTTAAACCATGCTTCTCCAGTTCCATGAACTGATCACTGCCCTTCTCTGCCTGCACCATTCCATTTAAATATGTACATCATTTTTATGATTTACTTGAATTCATTACATATGCCCACAATTTGATCAGTTCAAATCGGCTAGAGTATTTCATATAGCTAGCTAGAAGTGTGGTTGTTTTCTTATACATTTTCACTACCTATTTTTGAACCTCTCTACTACGTACGAAGTATTTTTTACCCCTATTGATGATCTCAAAAAGTTTAACCAAATTTGGTCCTATTTTTGAACTTTATCTATTTTTTAGTCGCATTGATGAACTAATTAAGGAATTTTTTAACCAGTTTTGGTCCTATTTTTGAACTTTATCTACTACGTATTTTTTACTCCTATTGATGATCATCATCATTACCCCAGGGTAAGGGGTCAGATGTAAGTTGGTAAAATGTTTGTCAATTTTCATTTTATTTCCAAATTTTCCTAAAGCAAGTCTGTCTGATCTTAATTGGTTTGATAAATGTGTTTTCACGGATAAATGTGTTAAATGTGTATATTATGAAAACGGGTTCAATTAAAAACATCCTTGAAAAAAACATGTTCGTAAAATATAAAAACACAAACACAAACAATAATACCCTATACCTTAATGAAAAGGAACAGAATTCCGAGGAAAGAACAAACACAGCCGAGAATGTGCATCAGCGGGGCGGCGAACTCGATGAGGGCGAGCTGCGGGTCATAAGCAAACAAGCAGATCCGGTAATCAATCCCGGCGAGATGAGCTACAAGATCATGGATATTCACTACGGCGACGAGCACCAAAGCAAAGAGCAAGAGCACGAGGCCGGACTTCGGCTCCCTCGACAGCTCGGCCGCGAAGCCGCACAGCAGCACGATCGTGGAGAAGAGATACAGGCCGGCGTTGATGTATTCCGATCGGTTCCGGGATGCCCCGGGGCCGTAAGTCCGGCAATCTCTTGCTGTCGCTAGTTTCACCATGCTTGATTAGTCTTTTTTCATGCACACCTACTGATAACGTCGTGAATTTCCTGATCCAATTCCAATCCTAACTAATAACACAGTATAAACCAAATAGGAATTCCTCGAAAGAAAGATCATCAGATTAGATTTTGCCGGTACGGTATGTATGTTATGTGAGTGAATATGCGAGAGCTGGACACGTGTCATCCTGCATGGAGGCATATTATTGCTTCGTGTCATGCAACCTAGCTACTTAGGATGTTTTTATTTGGACTGTAATTTGCTGGTCTGGTCTGGTCTGGTTTGGTCTGGTCTGGTCTGGTCTGGTCTGATCTGATCTGATCTGGTCTGGTCTGGTCTGGTCTGGTCTGGTAAGATCTGGTTTCTTTGTATTTTTATAACTATCCAAGTCTGGTCTGATCTGGTCTGGTCTGAACTGGTCTGGTCTGGACTGGTCTGGTCTGGTCTGGTCTGGGGCAAATTACAGTTCAAGTAAAAACATCCTTAGTCAATTTCCAAACCGAGAAATTATGGAGAATTCTTCTTGAACTCGTCCCGATTCGAGACAATTATTTTTTTGAACAATTTTTAAGTTAAATTTTCTTTGATATCGACAAATTTGGAAAAAAATTGTTAATATTACAGACAAGTTTTTGTAAATTTTGTTGATGTCACCGACGGCATGTACAAAAAAATTAAAGACGAAGTTCTATACCACACGTTTGACTGGTTAATTTAAGGTCATTTTTTCGATTTGCCATATGAATATATGATTGCTCGCTCCATATAGGGATGAACCCGGACCGGGCCGGGTTTTTTCTTTGGGAGGGGAGAACCGGAACCGGCCCGGATAGGCAGCGGTTCCGCGCCGGACTGGTTCCGGTTCAATGTTATTTTTTTTATTTTTATTTTTGCTTTTGTAATTAACCCCCTTCACCCCCTTCACCCCCAAAACGCCCCGCCCAACCCGGTAGAAACAAAAAAATTGAAAAAAAAATGGCCCGAACTGGGCCCTGACCGGCCGGGCCGGTTCCACTTTTAGGAGGCCCGAGCCCGCCCTGCGAATTGAGCGGTTCAGTAGGCCCGAACCGGCCCGAAGACTGGCCAACCGGTCCGGGTCCAAACAGTACCGGGCCGGGCGGCCCGACCCCAGTCCACCCCTAGCTCCATATATTGTCATTCGGAAAAACATATGTTGACTTTTGTAAAGCAAGTTCACTAAAAGTATGTAATTAATTAGACAGGCACTGAAATGCCTAAAATCGGTTTGACCTCCTGAAATGTCCATTTTATTAAGAGATAAATTTTACTGTACATTCATTTGCTTATTAAAAGAAGTACTCCGTAAATTTTATGTAAAATACAATTTTGATACTATTTGACGATAGTGTTTTGCAGTGCACTATCAATTTATTTAGGGATAGTAATTTGATATAAATTTGTTTATCATAAAAGAAAGTGAATAGTTTATTTAGATATAGAGGTAATATTTCTCATATAAAACAATTACTCTGCTTTTACAGAAATCTATTACTCCGTATGGCCTTTGCGCTTATAAAACATTCTTTTATTACCACAAAAGGTCAAAAGCTTTTCACATTTTTTTAACACAGTAGTCCTGTTACGCGAGGGGAAGATGCCCAATACTATATTTGTTAGTATTATTGAGATGTTTGCAATTAGACAATAGCTATATATTCGGCAAAATCCTTTGCTATCAAAGTTGTTAAAAACACACATCATACATCTCTATTGTGAATGTGTCAAGAGTCATTCTAAAGACAAACATAATGAATATTAGTCATGGACCCAGCCGGGCTTTTTTTGGGAAGGAAGGCCCGGGACCGGCCCGGGCCTCCGGTTCGGTCATTTTTTTTTTTGTTTTCCTAACCCCCCCCCTCACCCCCCCCCCCACCCCCAAACCCCTCCTAACCATCAAGCCCAACCCGGCTAACCCCAAAAAATGAAAAAAAAAAAATAAAAAAAAAAAATCAATTCGGCCCGGGCCCGGGCCCGACCCGGCCGGGCCGGTTCGCCAAATACAAGGCCCGAGCCCGGACCCGCTCCCCCACCGGGCCTAGGCCCGACCTGGACCCGAGAACCGGGCCGGTTCCGGGCCCGCACAGTGGCAACCACGTATTTGCAGATGTGGAATTAAATTATTACAACTCAGAACCATAATATAGCATTCTAAATATTAGACAACATGTGTGTAACTAAACTAATATAATTCAGAACCAGAATCACCATGGTACTTAACAATCATTTGCCTTCTTCATCTGAATAATAATGTTCGCTTTTAGAAACATTCCTTAATAGTGGCATATTCATATGTTTACTCACCAATAAGGTGCAAATGTGCTCCTTTTGCAGCATATGTGATGGTCATGCTGACTTACTGGATGGTGAACTTTTAAAATCCTTTTTGGAAAACAACATATGTTATTTATTAGATTGCGGTGATGAAGTATTTGTTTGGGTGGGAGTGTGGGACTCGTAACACATGTGAATGAAAGGAAATCTGTCATTCAAACAGCATAGGTATAATGTAGATTTCATTGTTGGACTTACACCTGAAATCAGGAAATTGCTGATTGGTGATGCTGCTCCACTTCATGAGATCCAAGATACTGCCTTATTGTTGGGGTAGAAGAGAACTTTTCCTTGCCTGCTTATTTTAATTCATACTCCGTATTATTTTAACTACACAATAATATCCATACTTCAGCAGCACCATGAGTTAAAGTAGCATTATTTTGTGTGTCACCAATTCACCATGGTACATGGAACCAAATTTTAAGCCTTATTTCTTCACCAACTTCAGCTACTCCGATCCTGTCCTTTTAAATTTGAAAAGACAAATATTTGTCTTTAAACATGTTGTCATAAAACTTTTTTGTAATCCCGAATAAAATATTTCACTAAACAGATAAATTTTTAATGCAGTTTCCCGAAAAAGTTATGCGCATGTGCTAAATTTAGACCAGTCAACCAATAAATTTTTAAAAATGACTTTAAAGAGTCATATATCGTCTAAATTAACAATATAGAACTCTTTTACAAAGAGAGACCTTGACAGAGAACACAGTCTCACAAGGAGGCTGGCAGGCTGCTATTAGAAAAAAAGTAATAGGTTAAGGGTTATGATAAGCCTCTTTCCAGCACCCTTTGAACACATACGGAGTATTTTAGTATATAATGAATGGACATTTCAGCAAACACATAACAGTCACAACAAAAGTAGGGGATGAAGCGAAATAAACAACAACAGCGGACTCTAAGCAGATGACCGAAACCACATTTGTGAATTGAAATCCAACAAACAATATAGGAAAAAAGAACCAACACGAACAAGGCAGAGTAGCGATGGTAGTTAGGAATGAACTCGAGTTAAATATCAAGGGAATTTATGCTTAATTAGAAGAGAATTGATGAAGAACTTACAAAAGGATGTCAAACAATCAAGAATTATTCAATACCAGGTCCCAAGTTTCATAGCTAGATTATTGGGGGCTCTTGATCGACTTTCTAAATGGTCATTCATCAACCATGTTGGGGGCTTTCTCGAGTTTCTGAACGGAAAAGAAGTTGATTTTATTTTTGAATGGAGAAGATGAATTGAAAATGGACGGTCGCTCACAGAAGTAAGGTTCAAGAATGTCCTACGTTTAACGGATGGAAATGAAGCTGAGTTCTGTCAAACTTTAACCTGCCATAGCATTGTGTACAATTGTCCATTGCTCAAAGGTACACGAACACATTTCTTGTGACCATTGTACCCCTAGCATTATTCATGCTTATAAGATTGTAGAGAAAAGAAGTTGATTTTATTTTTGAATGGAGAAGATGAATTGAAAATGGGCAGCCGCTCACAGAAGTAAGGTTCAAGAATGTCCTACGTTTAACGGATGGAAATGAAGCTGAGTTCTGTCAAACTTTAACCTGCCATAGCATTGTGTACAATTGTCCAATGCTCAAAGGTACACGAACACATTTCTTGTGACCATTGTACCCCTAGCATTATTCATGCTTATAAGATTGTAGAGATGTAATGCAATCAAGAGGCAACAATTACTCTGCTTTTAAAGAAATCTACTACTCCGTATGGCCTTTGTGCTTATAAAACATTCTTAATTTCTTTTATTATATTGCGTATAATAATTTTGTCGCACCTTTTTATGAATATGACAAAACTAATGAACGACATTTGTAGAAATTAAGAAATAAAATAAATGAGGAACTATAAGTGCAATTTCCCATATATTTTATGAAACAACCAATAATAATTTACAATAGGGCATTTTATACTTTCTGTCATCGTATCAGCAGCATTACACTCGTGAATAACAAACCACAATCGTGAATAACAAACATCTCGCATTCTGGCGTATGATACAAACAATTTATGGGAAAAGAAAAATCCCAGACTTCAACAGAACTTAAATAATAATAATAGTTATATAGTACATATAATACCAGACCAAACAAGATCATCAAATTTAAACTCAAATGAACAGGTCCTAAGTGATCACAAAGGACCAAAATTGACAAAGAAAAATATCCATAGCCATGGACTAAAAGCAGAAAGAACAGGGACCAGAATGATAACAAAAGCCCACACACATTACTGTACTGACCTTGTCAAAAAATCAAACACCAGCTTCACTTGAGCTGATCTGTTGCTGCAATTCGGCATTAGCCTTCCTCATGAACTCATCCCAACCACTTCCAGGACTTGTATCCATGTAATCCAGGGGAACAGCAGTCTTCAAACCAGGTCTCACCCCACACCGACTCTCCACAATTCTAAACTCAAACTTATTCCCACCTTCCTTTTCTTCATCTTCCAATTCTCCCCAAGTAAAGAGTAGGGGCAATGTGAAAGCACCCCATGGGTTGAAATCTAAGAGCTTGACACGTTGATCCCGTGTAACATAAACATCAAATGTGTAACAATCTGATTCAAATTTTCGCCTAACATTAGAAACGAAAAAACTTCTAATCATCTGTTCTAGAACGCTCTTCTCTTCAACGAGAGAGGGATAAAACATAGTGACCTCTCGTTGGGAGATCCCTACCAAAACATGATTTTTCACAAAGCAACGGAACTCCATATCAGGACGCAAAGAAGGGTACCATTTGCGAAGAGCAAGAACGAAGGTGTGAGGCCTGGAGACAGTCTTATCTATGCAGGAATCATATGCATGACAAAGATCGTGTACTAATGAGTCTGAGGATTTGAACAGAAGTGAAATCTCACTGAAAGATGAACATTTGAGATTCCCGGTTAAACTAATCCAAGCAGAATCTTTAGGGGAGCTCCAATTAAGTTTAGGGAAGACAGAACCCCCAAGAGAATGAATTGATTCTTTAACCTTCATCTCAAGTTCTGGGAATGAAGGGGGTGATGCAGGCTTTTCAGATTCACCTTTAGTCACTTCATAGTCATCTTCATCTTCTGTATTACAGACTCTATTGGGAAGGGCATTGTTGTCTTCTATGGAGAGTGGGAGAAGAAAGGGTCCCTTGTCATCTAAAAGGTAGTCTATGAAGCATTCAGGAAGGTGATGGATCTCTGTTTTTATGGAGACAGATCTGAACTTGGGGTACCACTCTTGGATCTGGCATCTGTTAACTTCATTTTCCTTCATCTTCACGTAATAATGAGGTTTCTGAAGAGTGCCAATGGTATCATTAGATAAAAAAAGGTATTGTTGTTTTTAACAATATCAAAACAGAGAGTGAAATAACTCAGTTGACTAAAGGCAATAAATCAAGGAAGAAAGGACAAAAATATTATCTCTAGGCTTTTGAAAAAGAATAAAATGACTAGTTTTCCTTTTTTAAAATCTGACTAACCTTTATATAGTTAATTAAATTTTCTCTCCTTGTAAGCCCTATCCAACCTCTGCCCCTACCCCACCAATGGCCAAGTGCAGCTGTAAACAGGCGGCATAAAATTATGCCAGTTTTCACCATTTCTCATTCACTTAATTCACGGGAAAAAATTTCCAAGGGTCACTGCCATGTTCCATGGCAGCAGTGACTCTGATGGTGGTGATAGTAACACCGGTGACGGAAACAGTGACATCCACAGTCACGGTTAGTGACATGATGAATTGGAAATTACATACAAATTTTCTAATTTTATTACCTTGTTAGTCACATTTTTGTCCATATGTAAAAGTAGTCACTTTTTTGGAATTGAGATTCAATATAGTCATATTTGAGAACCCCCATAAATCAAGTGCCTAATTCTCACTTCAATCCTATTAGGAACTCGAAAAACTCATCTAAATTTATGTGAATACTGTGCATTAATTCTCTTAAGAATATCACAACAGAAATTCAATCAATTCGTTCAGGCGAAACAGCTAACACCTAATACTAACTTCAAAACAGATTTGAAAAATACATATATAGATCATCAACAAATACATACAGGGTTCCACCACAAGGCCTTCCAGGTACACACACACACAAGGGGGTTTAAGTAAAAAGTTGTGCTAAAACATCATAATGGATTTTAAAAAATGCAGATTTAAGCAGAAAGCAATTAAACAGTTCATCTGGTTCATATACTCTTTTTTGTCATTGTAGGCCCATAATATCACTATATACAAATGTAGTAATAAAAAATAACACTAAAACTAAATGCGTAAATAGCCTGTTTCACATAATCACCTTGTGACATTATTCAACAACTTAAACACACACAAAAAAGTGAAATAACAATCACATATTCAAATTAATTAAATTGAATACATGAAATCAGGGCCAGTCCTGAGAAAGTGGGACCATGTGCAACAACAAAATTTGGGCCTTCCTTTCCGACAAAAGTGGCAATCTACTTACTTATAAATAAAGCACAACCTTCTAATTGAAATTAATTGTAAAATAATTGCTATTGAGTTCAATTAATAAATTGCTATTGAGTACAATGGATTAATTAAATAATTGCTATTAAGTACAAAACTAATATGGAAATTAATGTGGCTTACGTTTATTACATCCCACATACTAACCATAAAACATACTTAAATCCTTTCATTTTCGTAGTAAATCACGGATATCATATACGAGTACCTTAGATGTGATTGTCAATTAATGGAGTGAGCCGCACAACGCAAATGTTGTATTAGGATGTTTTTATTTGGACTGTAATTTACTGGTCTGATCTGGTCTGACTTGGTATGGTCTGATATCTTTGTGTTTCTATAACTATCCAAATCTGATCTGGTCTGGTCTGGTCTGGTATGAGACATATTACAGTCCAAGTAAAAAACATCCTTATTGGCACTAGACTGGCCAATTTAATCTACTTACTTAATAATAAAGCACAACCTTCTAATTGAAATTGAATTTTCAATTAATTGCTATTGAGACCAATTAGTAAATACTACGTAGTTATTAATTATTGCAATTAAGTGCTAAATTCATAGTATTTACTCAATTGATTACTATTGAATCCAAATAGTGTATATTCATTAAATTAACTGCAATAAAGTCCTAAATTCATGGTATTTATATAAATTACGAAGTGGAAAAGTTCACCATCAGAATTATGGAGGAGGACCGCCGTCTAGCCGCCGCGATTTGAGATTGTTCTCGATGGTTTTTTTGATTATTTTTAGCGTGTTCTTCATAAGGTTTAAATTATGTTCACAAAATTTGACCTTAAAATCGATTAGGAAGTCAGATAAACAAATTATTAAAAATACTGCATTGTGTATATAAATATTTTGGTGCAGTGTTTTTCAATAATATTTTTATTTGACTTCCCGGTCGAATGCTAAGATGAAAGTTTGGGGATATAATCTAGAATACGCTTACGTAATTTCATCAAGAAAAAATCACTCGGAACTGTCTCAAATCGTGGCGTCCGGATGGCAGTTCCGATCAAGATGTCCTGACTGGAATATTACTCTATTATGGAGCATCAATTTCCAAATAAACTACAAATAATACAATCATTCCATTTAGAGAGCAAAAATGATATATAATATTGGATTTCATTCCATATTTTATAACGCTTTATCAATTGATTCTAAAAAATCATGCATAATTTTTAAAACTTTCATTCGTTTTTTTGAAATACTTTATATAATTTATTCCAATAAAATACATAGATTTGAAATGCTTTGTATAGTTCATATTCCTTTTCACTATATATACTAATACTATATGTCAAGTTCATGCGTTGCACGGACGACCAAATAATATGTAAGAACTAATACTTATTAATTTTATTTCATATTTATACACTGTTATTCATATGCACAGTATAAATTTTCTATTATAAAATACTAGGTTTCTTTTAATAATAATAGTTTTTTGTTTAAAAACAAAAAGAAACATATAAAAAGAATAAATTGAATTTTCAAAAAATAAAGTGAGTTTTATACTCCGTAGTTATTTAGTATGGAGTATTTAGTAGTAAGAGTATAATGATTAGTTTTCCTTATATGATACTCAATTTAAACAATAGTTTATGTTGAAAAATATGCGATGAAAATGTCCGTCTATTTTTAACATTGGATATATCAATGAAAACTAATTGATGTAATTTTCCTACTTATTTTAAAATTTTGCATTTTTAATTTACTGATAAAACTACTTTTTAAATCACCCTTAAAGTAGGAGAAAAATTTAATCACGAATTGAGAATTTCAAATTAAAAATTCAAATTTAGAAAAT